AATTGAAAGGAAATTTTGACAGACTTCAAAAAAACACCAAGTCTACTTTCCGGAAAAGGAGAGATCATCGCTAACTTCGCACCACAGTAAGCCACCTGACTTGTATGGACTACCCAAAATCCACAAGAACGGTGTTCCGGTGGTTATGTTACTTCCTGTAACACAACCACTGCAAGGAAAAACTTCGTCTTTTGTGGAATTACTAATCAGAGATCGATATCAATTGATCAGTTTCGACGTGGTAAGCCTTCACACTAACGTTTCTGTCGAAGAAACACTTCAAATCATACAGAGGAAACCATTCGAAGACGGGAATTTGGAAGACAGAACGAACTTACCTATGGAAGTCTGATGGAGATACGTCGATGACACCTTCATAATATGGAACCATGGAAATATAGAACTCTAGACACCTTCATGAATCACATTAACGGCGTAAGATCTTTTATCACCCTCACAATGGAGAAAGAAGTCCAAAATGAATTGCCATTCTTAGACGTATCGGTGAAGAAGACCGGCACTAAGTGGAGAAACATCTGTATACCGAAAACCCACTCAGACGGGACAGTACCTGAATTACGAATCCAACTACCATCAATCCACCAAAAGAGGAATCATCAAGACTCTAGTAGACCGTCCTTTGGGCTCTGTAATACGAAGAAAGGTGTCAAAGAGAAACTAGGCATCATCAAAAAAAATCTTCAACAAACTAACTTTATCTCACTCGAAAATACAATAATACTCGATGAAACTCGAAGTGTATATGAAAGAGACAATAGAAATTCGAAAACAGGAATAAATTCAATTGAAATGGAGGAGTATTTAACATCAAAAAAGACTGGTTACCTGTCCTAAGAGGTGCACAAACAAGGTAAGGTAATGTAATGAAGAGAAACCAAGCCTCTACCACTAATAAGAATATAAAACCAAATACCACATCGCCTTTGATAATATCTACCGCAGTAGTAGACGAAATGCCAAACATAAAACACTTGCCGACCACGGCCAAAAAAAACTGAAAATATCTTTCATACAGTAATCTCCGGCTATGAAAGTTTACATTCTTTGAACAACATATTTGGTTTCAGCTCTTTCATCTGTCCACTGTCATCAGTGCCAGTGTCTAAATACCCCTACTAGAAATCAAAACCTCTCTTGTTTACCTCGAAGATAAATATGTTCTCCATCTTTGAACTGTGAAACTTCATCAAAATGATACTAGAACCAAGAATCATTTTCATTTGCCCTTATCTAGATTCAAAGTAACGTCATGTGGACCGGAATACATTGGTCCAAGGATATATAACCACCTTCCAGATCATTTAGGGGCATTGAATACTCTCTCTGTGTTCAAAAAATCATTTAAGAATTTTTCATTAGAAAAATGTTTTTATGCTTTGCAGCAATTTTTTGAATAACTCATATTCATTTTAGTTTCATAGTATGACCCTGTCTTCTCCTTATCTTTTCTTTTCTTTTTTGATTTGATTTTGTATTAATACTTTCTACCCAATTTTATTGTCTGACTAGAAATAAAGAAATGTTATTTTCAATAAATATTACTAGAGTTTTTTTCCCAACACAAAACTGTTATTTTAACAACCCGACACGTGTTTCGATCACCAAGTGATAATCTTCAAGAGGAGGTAGTTTATAGTTTAATCTTCCTCTTAGTTTAACACTTCAACACGTTATTTGATCACCAAGTGATCATCTTCAAGAGGAGGTAGTTCGATCTTCCTCTTGAAGATGATCACTTGGTGATCAAAACACGTGTCGAGGTGTTAAAAATAACGATTTGGTGTTGGGAAAAAACTCCAGTAATATTCATCACCACAACAAAGGTTTCAAACGGTGCTTCACAAATTATTATTTTGTTCGATTTGAACGAGCGTATGTATGTTTTCTATCCTCTTCCGGAAAAGGAGAGATCATCGCTAACTTCGCACCACAGTAAGCCACCTGACTTGTATGGACTACCCAAAATCCACAAGAACGGTGTTCCGGTGGTTATGTTACTTCCTGTAACACAACCACTGCAAGGAAAAACTTCGTCTTTTGTGGAATTACTAATCAGAGATCGATATCAATTGATCAGTTTCGACGTGGTAAGCCTTCACACTAACGTTTCTGTCGAAGAAACACTTCAAATCATACAGAGGAAACCATTCGAAGACGGGAATTTGGAAGACAGAACGAACTTACCTATGGAAGTCTGATGGAGATACGTCGATGACACCTTCATAATATGGAACCATGGAAATATAGNAAAAAATTGTTATACAAATTTTATGTACCCCCTTTAAGGGGCTGTATCTTAAGGGATGCTCCAATGAAGTTTCTTTATATGAAAGATCCCGTCTTTTTTTCGATGAGGAATCACCTCCTCAAATGTTTTACACTTATTCAGTTACATCCTGTATTGGCAAGAATTCCATTTGGCACGATCATTAGCATCTTTTTCAAATATTCGTAGGTACACAAAGGACATCCCTAGCTGAATATCATAACAACGAATATCTCTGGAGTATATTCGAAAACAATTTAATAAATTGAAATTAGTTGATGCTCATTAGAGATTGTCGGAATGGTATAATGATTTCATTCTGATCCGATTACGATAATATTTTTGAAATTCCTAATTATCACCTACTTCAAAGTAAATTTGAAGAGGTCGCTTGTTCACACGTTTTTGTAATTTTTTATGATATTGTGTATCACTTGTTAGTGAAAGGTTTGAAGGTCATTATTTAATATTTTGTATATCATGAGATTGCCAAAATTTTCCTCTGTGTAGCTAACTAAATCGATAATCAGATTTTAGGTATGTCTATGATGATTGTAAAACAGATGTTAGTATATTTAGATCAACACTTGTTTGGAAAATAAAGAGAAAAATCACTGAAAAACCTTATTTTGGACATCTACATAATGACATGGACATAATGAGGCTGTTTCAAAAATTAGAACGGTAAAACCATCAATCAGTACATGTTTCGAACCTATATAGGTTCATCATCAGCTAATTATTCAAGATTATGGAAAAGAAAATATTTTTTATAATGGAGAAAATAAAATTGTCACATGTTACCAATGACCAAATGGTCAAATAGTGATAAAATATATATCTCTTTAAAGTAGTAAAAACGACGGAAGTTTATAACATCATATCTAATATTAACATCAAAATCATAAAACGGTACATGAAAAGAAATTATAATGAAAGATATCCGGATTGAATGAGAAAGGAGAAACAAAAAAAAATTGTTTTCTGTTTCAGAAAGTTTTCGAAAGATGATGTGTTTGTTACAAATCAATTCGTCACTTTGTGGGTATGTACGAATCAGTTTCATACAATTTGAAATGACGTTGCCTACAATTAAGTTACTGACGTAGATTCTGTTAATCAAAGAAACTATCGTGATAACTTGAGACGCAACACCATTGATTATATTGGAAACTCCACCAATTTGGCTCTGAGTTTCTATGTTTTCATTGGAGGAGAATTTGTTTATTTTTAGAAATGTCATAACAATTGAATCAAAGTGCATTCAACGCGATTGGATTCATTGATTTTGCGGTTATCCAGATCTAACTAGTTCCGTGCACTCTCTGTTGAGACAGGAAAATAAATAACAAGTTAATTGTTGAAGTTGCTAATTTTCCGATGCTGAAATTGATCATCTCAGAAAAAAATATATGCCACGTAATACACATGTACCTCTCCATCGTTATACAAAAAATGTGGGAAACTATCAAAGAGAAGAAGAAAACAATTAATTGCAAAACTATTCTCTATAATGATGCGTAGATTATGCAATGAAGTAACTTTCAGAGTTTAATATTTGGCAAACATTTCTCGGGTTGGACTTTTCAGTTCAATGTCTAAACAGGAATAAATCCCAATGACAAGACATATTAATATTATTAACAAGCATGTTACAGTTTATATCTACCTATGTACACACAATACACATACATACATACATATATATACATATACATACATACACATATACATGAATACAATACTAATTTATCAACTAGAAACACCTGAAGCGAGTAAACAAAAAATAAAATAAAGTAAACATTTAGGAGAGTNACAGGATTCCTACACAATATATTAAATGAATGAGGCAAAATCTCACTTACATGGAACACTGTCATCCTCACTGGTAGACACCCGCCTTATCAGCTTATCAGTACCAAATTAAATAACATTATAAGAAAAAACACAGAAATCATTGATAAAATTTGACTCTATGTCACAGAATGAATTTGATCTACTCATGTTATCGATGACATGGTAATGACATTAATTTGCTTACTTAATTAAATCCTTGCCAAATAAATCTTCTTTAAATTGAAAGGAGGATATTTTTAGGAGAGAAAGATTTCGGCACCTTCTTGATACAAAAAAATGTGGAAATATTTCAAAGAGAGGAAGGAATCACTCAATCAATCAATAAATGGAATATGGTATGTCCTGATCTTCTCATCTTATTTTATGTTTGTTAGTTCTCTTTATTTTACTCATTTGATTACATATTTCATGTAATACATTTATATTATCTCAGCTCTGCTTGATTTAACCACAATAAACCCTTGCGGGTTGCGGTGGAGGATCGAATAGACTCACTTTTTACCATACCATCTACTTGATTTATTACATCTGCGTATTCCAACTATTCTGTGGGTTGTATTTTTTATCATTTTAATCATATTATTTATATATGCTGTGGTTATATGCTGGTATATATGCTGTGTTCACTTGTATGCTTTGTGTAACTTCTGGGAAACCCATGCGCAATCTTAGAGTCCTCATTGGGTGCACCTGATTCGTTTGGGTACATTTTGTGAGAATGTTCAATAAACGTACGCCATGTAACTGATTTCTTTTTATATTATTTTTTGTTTACTTAAATAAAACAATAAATTTATTAGTATAAAAATTCATCATGAACTGAAGATTGAGAATAAATAGATTTTAGAAAACTTACGTCGTTGCATGCTCGGCTTCTCTGTGCTTGTGAGGATCATATTCTCCAGCTTCTATGGATTTTCTTAAATCTTTGAGTTCTACAGTGTATATGTTGTCTTTGTCTCTCTGGGTTAGGATCTCCCTCGAGTTTATGGCCGCTGAAAAACTGAAATACAAAAATTCGCAATCAATGACTAAACAAACTAGAGGTATAGGATAAAAATCGATAAAAATATGAATCCTAAAATTGTGAGGGTTTTTTGTACATGAGAATTCTATAGGTCAATAAATTTCTTCTCCAGATCTGAGAAGTTTCTTTTTTCAATTTTTATACCTCGCCCTATTTCATTCGTTACTAGTTCTAAACGTTGGGCTGAATAGTCCGAAAACTAACGTAGCTATACAATGATTACAGCAGCAGTCATACAGTTTTTCGATACCACTTTTCTAATACGATTTGTCTTTTTCCTCAAACTGGGCCCCAGTTCCGATGTTTAAACATTGCTAATCACTTCTCATTGATTGATTTTACTGGAGCAAAATGTTTATTAAGCCAAACATTGGCTTCAATAGTATTTTTGCCAAAAAGCAATGCTTTATGTGCACACGGAATTGTTCAATCCCACAAACAAATAGTCCGACAGCTGTTAAATTTGTACACGTGTCTTTTGAAGGTCAGGATTAACTGAAAATCATATGGGTTTAATACTAATAGCGCCATCTGTGTCTTAGCCTACGAACTTTGAAGCCCACCTAATATATTGAGGCTAGTTCTTTTTTACCACTTAGTAAGCTTCCTAGCACACATATCTTTTCAATATCTCTTTCGAATCCTTCTTTTGTCTCATTGTGTTCCATTCTAGTGTAATACATTTTCATTTTTGTTCTACTGTCTTTTCTTCCTTCTCTCTTTCTTTCAAAAAAGATCTCCGTGTCAAATTCTATCATCATCAAAAATGATCTTCAACGGAATGGTTACTTCAGAGTGATGGCAAAACAGACTTTGGCTAGCAGCAAGAGCCTCGCAAGGAAGAGAGCCCGTCACAACCAGTGCTTGCACTTCCCTACATCGGAGGATTCTTGGAAAGGATAAAAAGAATTGGATCCAAGTACAACATCAGAACCGGCTTCAGATCCGGAAACACTATCCGTAGCACCCTTACAAAAACCAGGCCACCAAACGTGGACTGCGATTCCATTTACAGAATACGGAAAATCCTATATCGGTGAAACTGAAAGGCCAATAAAAATCCTTATTGCCGAGCACAGCGAGGCGATACCAGCAATTCTGAAATAGCAGAGCATGTTTGACCAATCATCATAACATCAAATGGTCCCAAGCTGAGATCATCCACAGGGAGGAACACTGGTTTAGGAGGAAATTCAAAGAAGCTGCATATATATTGTCCAAAAACGCCAACTCCCGCCAAACGTTCAGCTTCAGCTAAACCGGTGAAGCGGAGAGATTGAAGAGCGGATAGGTGAAAGCACTCGAATGACATATGAATATTCACCTCTCGGAGGAATTAACTCTTATACCCTCACCATCTACAACGAGTACAGGCTCTGTTACCGCGAGACTTTCCGAACCGTCTTGAATTTTGCAATTGGATGCTGGAAATGATTAGAAGAAATTGTAACTTTCTGAAGACTGAAGAATTCACAGACGAATGTAGTTTTTCTCAGGACAAGATGATTAATTTTCATAATTACCACATATGAGCTGATGGAAACCCTCACGCTATTGTCGAAACTAACCATTAAGAACAGTTTTCTCTTAACGTGTGGCTCGGAGTTATTGGAGATGCTTTAATTTTCTACCTCCTCTATGAAATGGTGAGGCATACGTTCAATTTTTAAAAGAAATGCATCCAGTACTGCTGAAGGAAGTTCCTTTGGGCGTTAGAAGGGATATGTTTTTATGCATGATGGGGCTCGCGCCCATTTTAGTCAAGTAGCACGTCAGCATTTAACTGAAACATATGCAAATCAGTGGATAGGTCAAGGAGGACCACAGAACTGGCCCGCTCGATCCCCGGATCCTCTCGATTTCTCTATTTGGGGCCATTTACAGCATTTGGTTTATCGTACCCCTGTTTGCGATGTAGAGGACTTAAGAAACCGCATCATCGATGCATGCAGGGTAATCAGAGAGACTCCAGGAATATTTGAGCGAATACGTGGCTCAATGCACCGACGTCTAGACGCATGCATAATGTCTGAAGGTATACATTTTTTGTTTAGAATGAAACATGCTATCTGAAATGAATTTTCAAATGGTAAACAAATGATAAGACAAAAAGTTACATTGGAAATAAACTTTAGGGGTTGCGTTTTCCACCCCTCATAACCATAGGGTAAACTAAATAAATTACTGGCTAAGTGTCAAGTTAGTAGAAAACGTCAGATTGATTTCAAAATTATAACTTTTTCAGTGCTTGTGAAAAAAAGTGGTATACAAATTGTATGTACCCCCTTTAAGGGGCTGTATCCTAACAAGAGATGCTCCAATGAAGTTTCTTTATATGAAAGATCCTATCTTTCTTTCGATGAGGAATCACTTCCTTAAATGTTTTACACTTATTCAGTTACACCCTGTATAGCCTTCGAATGCTCGTAAATTATGGTGCATGAAATCCAAATTATCACAAGATCAAACATAAATCAACGAAGAATCACATTATCATTCTGAGCTTTATGGAGTTGCTAACTTTTGTAGTAGTTTGTTCTATATAGGGACAATAATAATGCCTGGTTGAGTTTCCTATGTCGTCATGATTATGTCATTTCCTCGATAATTTGATTTGTATCGTTAATAAATTAACTGGCAATTGAATTTACAAACATTCTGATATCAAAAGATAACACCTTCAATTGCTTCTTTGACTCAAAAATTCAAAATTTGTAATATGCTGAGATTCATAAAAAAGACCACTGAATGAGTCAACAAACAAGTGGGGGTTGGATCACACGCGAAAGGTTTTGTTCGTTGGATATAATGTATACACTGATTATTTGTTGAAAATTAATAACACCATCCATGATTGCCGTGTTCCACTCTTGTGTCCGTGTTTCTCCCCCATGCCCCCTCCCGGGTTGAGTGCCCTGAGTTGAGATCTGCCCCACACGGTTACTGTGTACAGAACATTTCATCTCGTCCAACCTTCCCCGCTCCTCCGGAGCGGTTCTCAACTTATTGATGTGCACTTCAGCAAGATTGACATCTGACTTTCTTTGATCGAAAGTCAGCCTCTAGGTGCTTTTATTTTCTGATCTACTGGTGTCCGTGTTAGTTGTCTGTCAGCTAGATTGACATCTGACCTTCTTTGGTCGAAAGTCAACCTCTAGGTTCTTTTACTTTCTGATCTAGTGGTGTCCGTGTTCGTTGTCTGCCAGCCTCCTCATATGTGTGATTAGTGTTTTTGCCACCCAATGATATTGTTTTGGGTGGTACTGTGAATGCAATTTCACTAGAACGATTCACTTCAAGCGCGGTGAACCGTCTGAATTTACCGTACAAACAGCCGACAGTCATCTTGGCTTCAGACAGGTTGGAGCCTGGCTCCCTTAACCTTACCTCTGGCGTTTGTCAGAGGTACAAATAGGTCATGACTGAATGGTGGTGGCGGTATGAAAGTACTCAGACATCAGTATCGTCCTTCACAATGTACCCCTACCTGGCTGGTGTGAGATGGCTCAAAAATTGTTTATCTGTTAATTGGGGACATGAGGGACTCATTTGACAGAGTGTCGGGGCCTTCTATATCGGGAGGGGTCGTCTACAGCATAATCTATAGCTTCCCTAACTAACGGATCATCGTGAGTTTCCGCACAATCGAAAACTCGCCAATTCCTCGACTAAATGGACTGCTGAATGGAAGGCAGCTACAAATCTCTACGGATGGGTCCGTTCCGCACGAACCACGGAGCATTCACAATCATCTGTATTAACTTATTTTGTAATCTCTCCAGACTGGATATATTACTTGGAGCCGCTTGTTCCCAGACGCCTGAATCATACATGAAGACAGGCTTGAACATCGTATTGTAGATGGTAATTTTGTTCTTCAGACTCATTTTTGATATTCTGTTAATCAGAGGGCACAGACTTCTGATCTGGTCCTGGATCTTTGTTTTGACCGATTCAATGTGCGAGTTCCAGGTGAGCCTACGATCTATTAGAAGGCCGAAGTACTTCACCCGCGCTTGCCATTTGATCTCCCTTCCAGATATTGTCACTTTCCTAGCCGGAGAAGATATCGTTTTTTCCATGGTTATCGCCTGAGTCTTTTCCGGGTTCACTCGGATCTTCCGTTCAAGGTACCAGCGCTCGAGGTCGTCCAATTCATGTTGCTTGTAGACGATCTCCAGCTCCCGACCCATGGAGGATGAGAGGAGAGCCGTGTCATCGGCATATAGAGATATATTCACACGCTTAGACCTCGGGAGGTCACTGGTGTAAATTGAGTATAGCGTGGGAGAGAAGACGGCCCCCTGTGGCACTGGAGCGAGGATATCTCTGTTGTCAGACAGAGAGCCCTCTACTCTAACCTGAAATGTTCTGTCTTTCAGGAAAGACCCAATCCACCGGTTGGTGTTTTCGGCCAGTCTCAGAGCCTGTACCTCAGAGGAGTGTCCTCCCCTGAAACCGAATTGTTCGTCAGGCAGAACATTTCGGTCCTCAACTTCTTCGAAAGAATCTTTGCAGAACGACTCCTTCAGGCAGCTTAGCCGCCGACGAGAGCAGACTGATCAGGCGATAGTTATGTGGGAACAGCAGTTTCTGGCCCTGTTTTGGGATCATGAGGACGATCGCATGCTTCCACCTTCTGGGGAAGTATCTGAGGGTCAACGAGCTGTTGATGATGTGCAGCAGTTTTTCGACACAGTTTTCCAGCCTTGATATAACCCTTCAGCTCTCCCACAGAAGCAGGGCGGATGCTATCATCGTCATCTTTCCTGAGGATACAATGAACCTGATCTTCCAGCAGAATATCGAGCTCGATGTTGTCAACGTTAAGTTGAAACTGGCGTTCTATCGAGTAATTGTACAAACAGGTCTGCATGTCGTCTTGAGTTCAATGGGATGGAGCCCAGCTCCCTTACCCTTCACATCGTCTTGATTTCAATCAGGTTGGAGCCTGGCTCCCTTACTCTTTGAACTGAATCCTCCCTTACCCTTAAACTAATTTTAACTAGTCATAAGCTTCATCTGCAGTTGATTCAGTAGGATGTACCACTGCGCCACCTGCAGACAAAATCCGGAAACAACTCCACAAACACATACGCCGGAGTGGGAGTCAGAATGTTTAACATTCTGATTCCCATACATAGTTCACTCCATAGTTAATTACGATAATTGCGAACGAAAACCATGCAAACTGTCAAAAATCAAAATGTCAACTAATTTCATGTCGAATAACTGTCAGTCGTTATTTCGCTCGTATGGTAATGATCAACTGCATGAAAACCATATCTACCAAGATTTTCTTATTGACAATGACAATAATGACTTGATTCTACTCTAGGAAAAATGCAACTTTCTCAAAGAAATAGCGTTCGCGAAGTAAGTGCTTTCCGGACGGTTTACGAAAAAATTACATTACAAATATAAATATTTATATTTATATGTAAGAAATGTCCTTCATGAATTTGTATGACATCTGTTGGTAATTTTCTGAAATATGTTTGGCACGGGACGTAAACTAAATATTGAAATTCTATAAAAAGAAAATTCGAAGTATTTTGGTATCCATTCAATATTCGCTTGGGCGAACTTGAAACCACTTAGTTTTGTAATTCGGTTGTAGCCAAATTATTACTTCGAACAGAAAGATGTACTCGTTGCGATGTCCTTCAATCATCTAATAATGAACTTGAAAACTAATAGCTGACTTTGAAATATATCCAGAATGTTTGACTCCATTATGCACAGTTAATAATCTTGTCTTGTCAACTACCGTGTGAATCAAGGTTGACGTTTGTTTAATGTATTCTGTACACAACTACCTCAATATGGTTTTGCCAATGAAGAAATAATAATTTAAATTTCATTGAAAGATTCACAAACACGAAACTTTATTTAGTTATCACTGAATATTTTCCGTAGTCGGTTCATTTCATTTAATGTGTCATTTTTGCATGTTGCATAAAACTATTCTCAATTTTTGTAATTATAGTTCAATACCACCTTCACAAGCCACATAAACAACAGTTGTTTTGTTATTTATTTATATAGAGGAAGATAGGTTAGGTGCACAAAATGTCATATGTTACAGAATATCTCGTAACTCGGAACATAGTAATCAGAACAGCACGCCTCTGAAATATGTCATCTTTGTTTGTCTCATACAGGTAACAGATTCATTGTTCTTTATTAGCTATAACCGATGTTGCCAAAAGGTGAAATAGAAACGAATTCCTTTAAATGTTGAATGCATTATTTCATTCCTCTTTTTTAAGTATTTGAATAATGTTTTAAATAAAAAGGTTGAAATGATACGTTTAAAATGCGTTGTTTTAGAGCTCTTTTATGAAAACTACTTGATTTTCGTCAAGAGGAACATTCCTCATTCTTATCCAAACATTAATTTGCTTCCATTTGTGCCTTGGGAAAAGTGCCTATTTTGCAATAATGCTCCCTGATGTATTATACAAGAAGAGAGTGATAATGAAAGGAATAACCAATACTAGAGAGAGAATTTGAACTCTTTGCAGAATGTATCAACTCGGAGGACAGTGACGAAATTGAAATTGATTTTAGTAGTGATGACAGCTTTAACGAACCGAATTATGAATATGAGGAATGATTCTTGATGAAAATCAAGAATCATTAATTAAGAAACATTAATAAAAACTAATCCATACAACAAACTGTATTAATTAGTTTTTTAAAGTGAAAATGAATTGAAAGAAGTCGTGCGAGAATTTGTTCTGCCACATATTGGATTGACATTTTCCATGTTCATCATAATTCAAAATTAGCACTGACGCAAACTATTAAGTATATTTCTGTTTCTGTGCTACCACGAAATTCAAAAGATTTTCAATATTCACCTATCTTTGATTTGGTATTGAGTTCTCACTACTGACTTCATTTTTTCTGGTTAAATTAATTCATGTAGTGTATAACATTTCATATAGTATTTGGTTTTATACAAAAATACATTCCATATATTATTCGGTCTCTTTGTTTTCTTTTGTCCTTTGATTTATTTATTTGATTCAGTCTTGTCAATTTATGTTAACTCTGCAAACATGCCTTTAGTTAGCATACCTTTTTATGCAGTATATCTGAGGTTTGCATCAGCCGTCAGAAGTCCGACAGAAACAGAAATAGATTCATTTGAAATAGATATCCTAATATACATAAATATTATACAAATATATCAGTTATTAAACAGAATTACAAAAAAAAACTGAAATATATAAGACCCTATATAATGGAATATATTGGGTAAAACATAGCAGTAGTAGATGTGAAGAGATTAATAGAGACAAGAATGATGAACAACTCAATTGGAATAGTATTGTGCCCGTAGATATTGAGATAAGGAGCGTTTGAAGAGTTGAAGGGTGTTACTTTGTTTAATTTCATTAGGAAGCTTGTTATAGTCCAAGAGTCCTCTGTGGAAAATATAATTCATTGTTCTTGCAAGGTTAGTTCGTGGGACAACCAAGTCATCTCTTCCTCTTGTATCGTATTTGTGTATCTGATGGTTATATGTAATAAACTCATTGAAGTAATGCGGTGCTTTTCCATTGAGTATTTTGAATATGAATATCATACAAAAATATTGTACGACGATACGAAAAGAGTAGAACATTCAAGAAGAAGTTTTATTTTAATGTGATGTTTGTAGTTTTTAAGTTTCTAAAAGTAGTTTCAGTTTTATCCTAGGGTGTAACTGAATAAGTGTAAAACATTTAAGGAGGTGATTCCTCATCGAAACACCTCAATTTGAGCATNTCTAGTGCTTTTTTTGTTCATGCTAAATGTTTCTATTTATATTGACTAGTTATATGATTTTTTCTTTACTTTCCTTTGAATTCTGTTTGTCTATGTTTTATTTCAATAAATGTAAATATTCATTTACATCAAAATAGGCCGAATATGCCTGAAAATATAGTCTTCACTTTTGACAGTTTTCTTTCAGTTTTTCCTGTGATTTATAATAATTTCCACTCCATGATTATGCTGTTTATACATTCATTATGACATATTATAGTGGAACTATATAATATCTCTATATAATTCTCTTTTCTGTGCAATATTATTTGTTTTCATCGAAGACAAGCCGTGATTTCTTATTAATACATTTAAGGAATACATTTAAGGAAATAA